ACTCTTTCATTAGGGACTTTAAGTAGTTAGACAAGCTATTTACTTCTGTTTGAAGTAATGTGGCAGGTTGCACTTAGATGCTATTAGGGTGGCCGGGTGATACTAGACTTAGTTGTTAGGTACATTTATGTAATTGCAGTAGTAATTTCATGATCTTAATAAAATACTAGCATGACTGCCTATATTAAAAAAAAAAAAAAGTTTGTCCAAAAATAAGGATGATACAGCTGAAATGCATAGAATTATGGAATACACTTACCGAAGAACAAGCTGCAGAAGTTCAGGAAATGGTTGATGAAACCATAAGAGACTGTAGTCTTTATGACCCGCAAGCCCTAGAATATTTTTGTGAAATATTAACAGATGTTAGCCAGAATAATAACCTAGATGATGACAACAAAGAAGACGTTATATACTTACCCTTGTATATCCGATTGGTCCCACCTGTAGAAAAAGAAAGTGTCTCACCTGCGTCTCTAGTAATTCCAAGTCCGGAAGCTCCCTTAACGCCGCCCTGTTATCAGAAGAACCCAATTGATGAAGTACTTGATCTTTATCTTGTTTCGGAAGTAGAGAATAGTGACCTTAATGCTGAAGTCCCTCTGGAAAGTGTGATTGATGGATACTTGGAAGAACTCAAGCTTGAAGAACTAGAATCCGTCAACCATGCGTGCCGTTATGAAACTGGTGTTGGAAAAGATAAAGATAATGGAATTGAAGTTGAAAAAGCTAATCATGAGACACTTGGATGGCATCTGAAAAGTGCTGAAAACGGCAATTCGGATGGGCAAAACAGTTTTGAACCCTGTTGTGAAGAGGAAACCGAAGATCTACTTGAACCAGATAAGAACTCTTCTGGAATTGCAGTTGAAAAAGATGGACATAAAGCCTTCGTTTATTATCAAAAATCTGCGGATATAAGATCTACTAAAGAAACACATAATGTTGGCCATTGTTATAAAAGAGGAATCAGTGTGAAGAAGACAAACAACCGACCTTGGAATGGTACTCGAAATTAGCTGAAGATGGTTGACGATCAGTGTTGGAAAACCTGGATGAAGCCTGCGAAGATTGAAATAAAAGAGTTAATGAATACAAAAGGTCGATCCAAGCCAACATAAAAACAATGAAAGACCCCTACCTTGTTGAGCCTGGTAACCATTATGAGAATGATGCATGTTTAGAACAAGTGGAAGATAATAATACGATTGGACAATTCGACCCTGTTGGAGAAATTTCAGATGAAAAAGAAGATGAATTGAACCAAGTAGAATTCATATCACTACAAAGCTTGATGCTTGATGCTGCTTCTAGTAAAGTAGAAGAACGGTCTATGAGAAAATGCAAAGAACATAAAAAGGGCACTAAAACGTATTCGTCGAGAGAGGTCTTGAGTTGGAAATCTTGGCCTACTGAAGAAAAGAAGGTAAAGTTAGCGAAGTGGAACGAAAGCCAACCTACTGAGAAGAATCGAATTGTGCAAATAGATATCAGCGAAAATAAAGCTTTTCAATACTTACCAGCATGTGACCCATATAATCGGATATTTGACCCTGGAGGAAGATGCCATAACTGACTCCTTGTCTTTGTTTCTGGTTGCATATGACAGTTGAGCTGGGGCGTATGGCAAGGGTTGGACCCTTCATCTTGAACATGGACGTTTGTCTTGAGTATAGTGAAAAAAAAAATATATATATATTTTTATATAAAAGATAGGTATTACGTTAAATGCGATCATAGATGACATCACAATTTCATTCTTTATTAATGTCAATCCAGTACCATGCCCTCTCGATGACCCACGATCATTATGAAAGATCATGCGTGAAACGCATGACCTAAGCAGGAGGGAAATGTGATGATGGATATTGTAATACCGGATATTATGTCTGATCAGATGAAAAATACATGAAATGCAATAAGTTACATTTGTGACCAGAAATAGTATTTCGGATCCAGAAAAGAGAATGGGAGTAGAAATTATACATCCTTAAAGATATTACATAGATCAGTGTAAATAACATTTAATAGCCTTAAAGTAATAATAAGTGTAAAGTCACA